GAGAGAGAGAGAGAGAGAGAGAGAGAGAGAGAGAATCCATCTTCGCTCGATTTTATTTTCTCTTTAGGACATGAAATCAATAAGAAGTCAAATAAAATTGTCTAATAGAGAAACTGTCTTTTTATGATATGCAACTTGATGAATTTAGACAAATTTCAATATATTTCAATGTAAATTATACAACTTTAGAGTGCAATTATACAAGGTTACGCGAATCGAACTGAACGGATTGAACGCGCGTAGCGTGATAGACGAACGGAGATGTGAAATTACTCTTTCTCTTAATGACTGGTTTTGAGTTTAAATAATACGTTTAGTTGGGAATCTGAGATTTTTCTGCACCGGACGAAGTGATCCAGAGTTCAGTTTCACGATGCGAACAGTTCTTGCGCGTGTGAATGACTTAACTAATTAGCGTTTTGCGCGAAGCGACCGTGAAGAGGCGGCTTTTCTCGCGCGTGCCTGACTCCGTACCGTTAGAACCGCGAATGCATCGAGAATCCGAAACAGTGTGGGGCCTATTTACCGTAATCAATGACTACGCGTTTTACTGTCGGCGATTATACAAACCTCATTGTTACATCGAGATCCCTGGACTCGCACCTAGCAGTATAGATTCCCTGTTGCGCGATGAATTCTCTTGATATTTCTTCGCGCGATGCGCACGTAGATAAATCGTAGATTAGAAGTCGCTTGGCGAAACGGTCAGTGAGCACTTACATTCAGCCCAGCGGCATGAATGTAACACCTGTTGGATTCCGAGTTCACAACGCGTGTCATTACCAGTTGGATGATGATGAGCAAAAATCATTTAACTCATAAAATGAAACAAACAATTACTTACACATAAAATTAGTACAATTATTATGCACGAAACTCTCCATATTTTATCCGAAAGATATTCTTAAGAAATATCCTTAGAACGTTCGAAGAACATGGTCTGTTTTTTAAACGTCTTAAACGTTCCTTAGAGATCTGCGCTGTATGAGTCGATACTGTAAACTTAATTTACTTCAATTTAGCATATTGTTTAGACTTAGCTTGAAGGACTTAGAAATAAATTTTTCGTTTACGATACATTCAATATTATCGATCATCGGAGTGCTGCGAATAATAGGTTAGTAAACCTATTATTCGGTTACCTACATATAATAGGCACGTAAAATACAGAGATCGACAAGCACTTCGTTCGGTGACAAATAAACCTCGCACTTATCCTCCGAAAGCCGACCAATTAGACGTTATCTCTGCGGGGGGAGAGAGAGAGAGGGAGAGAGAGAGAGAGAGAGAGAGAGAGAGAGAGAGAGAGAGAGAAGAGACCTGAATGCCCAACGGCATGAATGCACGGCCTCGATCTCCACGTCGATCCCGATCCCCTCCTTCGGCGAGGGAACCCGGCATGCGCGAGGAAGGAGACCGGTCTGCCGTTGCGTGTGTGACTCGCATTACGGCGCTGAATATTTCATTCATAAGCGGGCCGAGCAATTACCGTATTCCACGAACGTGTGGTGCGCGCAAGGGACGTCTGCGATCGCGCTTACGTACACGCGTGTTGCATCCCGCGGTCGTTGCAGCTGCAATTACGCGAGGCGTGGCCCCCAGCGTGGTGAATGAAACGCATCCGCGCTCCTGCTTTTTTCCTTTTCTTTTTTCTTTCTTTGTCCTTTTCCGCTTTACGTTCGTCTTCGGGCTTCGCGTCTTCCTTCGTTCTTTCTTCCTCTTTTACCGAGATTTCCTCTCAATAGGCGAAACAATCCTGATTTTTTATACATTGACGGAAATAGCGGCTTGCCTTTTCGTTGATCGTGTCTCGCGTGAGATGAATTTACGGGACAGCGAGGAGATCGCAGCTGCCGCGCGAGGACAATCTTCGGCCGCGATTCGAGCCGGTCGGAGGTTGGCGCGACGCGGACGGTACATGCGTACGTGTCCCGTTCCGCACGTGAAGATACGCATTGGGGAATATACAAAAGAGTAGCATTAAGCGTGATTTACATTTAAGGGCGATTTTTATTCGCTAGAAGCCGCATCTAGTGACGTCATAGTGAATTTGCTACTAAAAACTTCTTCTAGACGTGGGTTTGTTCTTATAGCGTATATTATATTAGTCGCGGCGAATACCGCTTTCGACGCTTATCGCTGGCTTATCGCTAGTTTCTTGCTGCTCCTCCAGAGCGAATTTTTAAGTCATCAGCGTGAAGAGACAAATTTTTCCGAAATGCCTCGGTCACTCAGACCATAAGCATCAGAGAATAATCATATCATCGAATGACATACTTTGAGCTGCTGTTGTGCTTTGTGACTATTTGCTTGATTACTTCAAAATTTTAATCACTAGCGAATAAAAATCAAGCGTGTATAAGAAGCTTCATAAGCGAATTCGCGGATGAATTAAGAAGCTTGCTTCAAGCAAATAGCAGCAGAGTCGAGAGAATTCACTGGCGAATTATTGATGTGACTAGACGCGACTTCTAGCGAATAAAAGTCGCCCCGTGTAAATTACACTTTAACGAACGAACGTTACTCTTCTATATATTCGCACAAAGTTTTAAATTCCAATAATATCTAGCATCATCGCTGACTTTTTGCACATTCATGAATGTAGATTCAAGCACATCATTGACAAAAAAATTAACATTTACATAGTTAAACTTTAATGTATGTAAGACTATATCGCTATTTATAACACAAATCATCAGGAAACAAATTTTTTTAATTTTCAACTCTGCCCTCTTAGAATAATTTTGAAGACCAATGAAAATTCTTTGTCTTAAGGTATACCGCTAATAACATGCTGCTACATTTCTGTTTGCAGAATTTCCGAGAACACCGTATAGACGGCGCAGCACTACCGCTACTTTCAGAAAGCCACCTGACAGGCACGATGGGTATGAAACTCGGTCCAGCCTTGAAGCTGCGTGTGATGTTGGCTAGAAAACTCGGTGCCTGCACGGTATGCTTGCACTGTGCCCACTGTCACCAAACGCCGCTACCGGCGTTAAGTGCAGCCGCGGCTGCAGCGGTAACGCAACAGCAACAACAGCAGCAGCAGCAGCAGCAGCAGCAGCAGCAGCAGCAGCAGCAGCAGCAACAACAGCAAACGCCGGGTCGGCGACCTAGTAGCACTGGGAACTGACAAACAATGGCGGAGACTCCTCCATTAGGGTCTGAGACAGCAGCAGTCGGCGTGACTCCGACGTCGTCGTCTCCGGACCCGAACCGGGCTCTCAGGATAGAACGGCGTATATCTCGCCCGGTACGCAAACCAGAAGTCGTCTTCAAAAAGCCTATCAAACAGTGACTCGCAAATGACGTGTTCAATCAAAGAAGACGATTTTATATATATCAGGAACTATGGAGACTCCGCCTGTCAATAATTAAGTACCCGGAAAAACTTTTAGAGATAGAACATAGACCGAGAGTTTTAATCGAGACTGGATTGAAGGATATAAAAAAGAAAGAGTGAGAAGGAGGTTGATGTAGCCTGTATAGCATGTAGCATGTAAAGTGCTGAATGCTTGAGAATAAAAATATTTTTGAGCGTTCGTCGATCAGGATAAGCTAAAGCCTAAACTGTAGAGACCTGAAGAACTGTTGTTCAGCGAAACTATAAGCTTCGACTGTAATGACGGATTACATAGAACTTAGACGCAGCAGGAAGATATGTTAATTAATTGCGTATGATAAAACTGAAAATAGAAGAATTGAGAATTCAGCTTTTTGTATGGTCTTCGATTATTGAACGAGTAATATTTAGATAGAAAAACAGAGAAATATTTTTTAAAATTCTATATATATATATATATATATACATAGTAACGATAGAGTGAAACCATTGAATAGTTACAATTACGAGGAAAGATGGTCGAAGAAAGAAAGTTTAGCTGAATCACATGTATATACATCGTTGCAAGAATAGATCTACGTAAGATAATTAAAGAATTAGTAAATATATAGTAACGATGCCTGAACTTGAATGTATTTATTTACTGAAACTTATATTTCGTTAAATCTATTGGTTAAAGATTCAATTTTAATGGAATAATTTGGTTAAAGATTTTATTTTTTTGGACCTATAGAACTGTGTAAAATTTCAAAAGAACCACAATCAACGGCTACAAAATTATAAATATTTATTTTTTTTATATTTAAATATGAAAAATATTGAGAAATTATATTTATATAAATAAAAATACGACGGCATAGATCTACGTGAAGATTTATAAAAATAGGTAATTTTAAAACTTGTGATCTCTATCATGGATTCAGTATGTACTTAAATAATATATTTTACACTGTGAAAAATAGAAAATTAAGAATGCATATTTTGATATATTTTGTTCGCATTGTATAACGTAATATTTTTTATCATGCGATGATAAATATATATCGGGGATACATTTTTGTTTAAATTATTTCTGTTTAAATATTTTATTAAGTTAAAATTTCTGTGACCCAAATCCTACAAATAAACATATTTCTACATTACATTTTATTGTTTTTGTATAATTGTGTTTGGAAACTTCTCTGGACAGTTTAGTAAACTAAAAAAAAAAAAAAACAGAAAATTTATTAAATGTATCAATACTCTCAAGATTATATCGGTCATTACAACGGAGTTAATTTTATTTTATTTTTGAAGTTCTTCTTTCGGGAGGTGAAATAACTAATAGATAGTAAATCAAACGAGTGCCTATCTTCGTAAAGTCTTCCAAGACGTTGTCGAATGACCGATCGGATTAATTTCCGATTCGCGATGGAACATACTATTTTTGATTACTTGAGATCATCTTGATCGACTTTCTGAATGGCCGAACTCGTACCTCTGTACATCATACGAAATATCGATAAAATAAAGAAATACTAACTCGATGTCGAAAAGAGGAAAAAAAATAGAGGAGGTGTATGTGAAATGTACGCATTTATGTGTACATATGTCGGAACGATTAAATGCGAGTATGTGAAGCGGATGTAAGTATAGATATACAATATATGTGTGTGTGTGTGTGTGTGTGTGTGTGTGTGTGTGTGTGTGTGTATATATATATATATA